CCGCTTTTGTGTGTTTGGGGGGGGGGGGGTTGCTGCCTCATTAGGACGGCTGTGTTTGATAGAGTTGGGTCCCAATACATGTGAGAAATGTAATGGTAGTGTGGATAGTGATAACTAACGTGTCGGTTGTTGCTATCAGATATTGTACTACTAGTATGTATCCCTCATCTTTCCAAGTCGTTTTAGTGGTTCAGCTCTAATCAACCTTTTCTTTTCTATTAATTACTGCTTCTTGTCTTCTGGGGTTTGTTGGAACTTATTTATCAGTCACTAATTCTATATACATGAGTTGGATCTGTCTTAAAGACTAAGGCTTGTTGCACTGACCTTCTCAGTTTCGCCAGTTTAGTGTTCGCCAGCTGGAAGAATCGACTTATTTATAAGTTTGTGCTATGCTATGCTCTTGTTTTATCTTGACAGATGGATTTTGAGTGATATAATGTGCAATGCTTTTTCATTTGGAATTCCTTTTGGCATTGCTGTTCAGTGTCCAATTTCATATGTTGATCTGCCTGAAAATTTTACTCCGATCTGTTTTACAGTTCTTAATAGCCCAGTACTAATGTTTATGGAATAATAAAAACTTTGCTGTTTAATAAGTCGATTACTATACTACTGCATTCTCTAATTAATCATTCTTAGTTTTACGAACGTGGTAACTTAGGAATAGGATTGAAAACTCCTAATGCTCACCTATATTTGTGCTCATTTTGTAATATTGGTTAAAGTTTTTTAATGTTGAGGTGGGGGTGATTGATATTAGCATCGTTGTTATTGTTTTATCAGACATGGAGACTTACTACTTGCCTATTGTTTGCAGATAGTTGTTCATTTGTGAAATCATGAAGCACAAAGATGGAAAACCTGTGTCTCATCCTGATAAAAATTCCAGGGCTGTTCCCATGGCAATAATGTTTTTTGTAATGTGCGGGTTTTCATTCTATCTTGGTGGAATCTTCTGTTCTGAGAAAGATAAAATTGAGGCCAAGGACGTTGCAAAGGTGGTCTCCTCTCCCAAGGAATCGTCCATCGCTCCTCTTCAAATTAAATCCACTGCATTTCCTGAATGTAGCAGTGACTATCAAGACTACACTCCATGCACAGATCCAAAGGTATTAACTTAATTAGTTATTACATGGTGCCTAGTTTTTTAGATGGTTATACACTGAAATTGAGATCTCGATGATGTATGTCTATTGCACAGAGGTGGAAGAAATATGGTAATCATCGGCTTACTTTCATGGAACGCCACTGCCCTCCAGTTTTTGAAAGGAAGGAATGTTTAATTCCACCACCAGATGGGTATAAACCACCAATCAAATGGCCAAAGAGTAGGGATCAATGTTGGTACAGGTATTTTGATCTGTTTCCGAAACTAGTTATTGTTTTTACAAGGTTTTTCTTTTAGCTAGAAATTGCCAAGTTCAAAACTGTCTTACTACGTTTCACTTATCATTGCCATGTGGATCTGGCTTCAGAAATGTACCGTATGATTGGATTAACAAGCAGAAATCTAATCAGAACTGGCTGAGAAAAGAGGGGGATAAGTTCCTCTTTCCTGGTGGGGGTACCATGTTTCCAAGAGGAGTGGGAGCCTATGTCGATTTGATGCAAGATCTTATCCCTGAAATGAAAGATGGAACCATTCGCACTGCCATTGATACTGGGTGTGGGGTGAGTCACATTCTCATCTTCATCCTAGTTTCTGAAATTATTCGTGAAAGAAAATTTGATTTGTCAGAATCCATGTTGCAATAAGAATGGTTATTCTGTTTGTATTTTGGTTACCTATGTATCTCTACAGAATTCTGTCATCTAATCCAGTTGATTGTTTTTACATCTAGGTTGCTAGCTGGGGCGGTGATCTATTGGATCGTGGGATTCTAACCGTTTCCCTTGCTCCGAGAGATAACCATGAGGCTCAAGTCCAGTTTGCATTAGAACGTGGAATTCCTGCAATTCTTGGCATCATTTCCACACAACGGCTTCCATTCCCATCGAATGCATTTGATATGGCTCATTGCTCCAGATGTCTTATCCCATGGACAGAATTCGGTTAGTATTCATTTTAACTCTGTCAAATGATGTGTTATGGTTCTTGCTCCAGTTTGTGTGGGAACTAGCTTTGCATTTGTGAATTGATGCTGAATAACTTTCGCAAGGTTCTTCATTTCTGTGAGATTTTAGAAAGGCTTTGAAATTCAGATGCTGGATGGGTGCCACCAACTTAATGAATTTTCTTTTCTTTTCTTTTCATTAGTTCTATGATTACTTGATGAGGGTCCTTTCCTCACCCTGGTCTTCCTATTATAATTGCTTATTATATTACTAGCTGTTTTTCTCAAGAAAAGAATTCTGTTGCTTTCAGGTGGAATTTATCTTTTGGAAGTTCACCGTATACTCCGTCCTGGTGGCTTCTGGGTTCTTTCTGGTCCTCCTGTTAACTACGAAAACCGTTGGCGAGGCTGGAATACTACTGTTGAAGAGCAGAAATCAGATTATGAAAAGTTGCAAGAACTGCTGACATCAATGTGCTTCAAATTGTACGACAAAAAGGATGATATTGCTGTGTGGCAGAAAGCTTCTGATAATAGTTGCTATAGTAAGCTTGCTAATACTGATGCCTACCCACCCAAGTGTGATGACAGTCTTGAGCCAGATTCAGCATGGTACACTCCAATCCGCCCTTGTGTTGTTGTTCCAAGCCCAAAAATCAAGAAATCAGTTATGGAGTCCATCCCCAAATGGCCAGAGAGGTTGCATGCTACACCTGAACGCATTTCAGATATTCCTGGTGGAAGCGCTAGTGCTTTTAAGCATGATGACAGCAAGTGGAAGATTCGTGCAAAGCACTACAAGAAGTTGCTGCCAGCACTTGGGTCTGATAAGATGAGAAATATAATGGACATGAATACGGTTTATGGGGGTTTTGCTGCGGCTGTGATTGATGATCCCCTGTGGGTCATGAATGTGGTCTCTTCCTATGCTGCCAACACTCTTCCTGTGGTTTTTGACCGTGGCCTCATCGGGACTTTTCATGATTGGTAATCTGAATGTGCTTATATGAATTCTGAAGTTTTCATTCTGCAACAAAAGTAGCTTAAATAGGTGGGATGTCATTAATGATACTTTAGGATTTATTATGGTGTTGATTTGTTTCTTTTCTGTCTTGTAGGTGCGAAGCTTTCTCAACTTACCCTCGAACTTATGATCTCCTTCATCTTGATGGCCTCTTCACTGCAGAAAGCCATAGGTAGGCCAAAGGGCACATTTCCCATATCTACTTTTGTGGAATCACTTGGAATTTAATGTCTAGAAATGTAGGTCTGGCAGATTGTACCGGGTCCAAGTTTAAGTGGTTAACTTCAAGGTGGTAATGATACCTTGTGTAGTTAGGTACAAATCCTTGTCTGGTATGATAAGGCAGACAGAAATGCATGGACATTAGGTGACGCGATTTCCTCATGGTTAGGCAATGTAAATAGTGACATTGTAGAAGTTGGTTGCCTAACTACAATATAGTGGACTATCATGAGGAAAAAATAGCACAAGATATTTGATTGTTTGGAAATATGCAATGTGTACCGTACCAGACCGCCACGAATTTCTTCCCAGGATGAGAATTGGCATGAAACCATGGAACTGTTGATTTGGAGTTGCACATTCAGGTTTGACTACATATCTCCCATCAGCTGGCGTGGAAAAGTCAATACCTTTACCAGCTAGTCAATGAATTTTCAATATTATTTGACTTCGATGATCTGGGGGTGGTGTGATCCTCCAGCAGAGGATTATTAGTCCTGTAATTTACATTTATTTCCTTAATCGTAACTGATGAATGCTAAATTGGAAAGTGGGGATCCTTGTTTACTGGCCTTTGTGAGTCTCATGATTGTTTGTACTTGTGCAGATGTGAAATGAAGCATGTGCTTTTGGAGATGGATCGAATCCTACGACCCACCGGTTATGCAATGATACGAGAATCCAGCTATTTCGTCGATGCCATTTCAACCATTGCCAAGGGTATGAGGTGGAGCTGCCGTAAAGAAGACACCGAATATGGAGTTGAGAAGGAGAAAATATTGGTCTGCCAGAAGAAACTCTGGTACTCCTCAAACCAAAGTTCACGGTGACAAACAAAGAGATCCAAAACATGCCGATGCATCTCTTGGAGAGAGAGCTCATGTAACTGCAATACAGAATTCCAGGGGATGATGAGTTGAGGAGATAAGTAATAAATTGAATCCCTTACACACATATTAGTATATTCAATAGAAGCCAAGGATCTTCAAGGTCGACACTGCAATTGAAGAATTTGCTACTCAATAACAGAATTTTGTTAATTTATAGAATCATTTAAGTACAAATAGATTCTTTGTAAGGCATCTATACTATACTTTCCTTGCGCTGTACTTTGTTTTCTGTTTTTTGGCCCTGCCCTTTACTCTTTCCCATTTTCAATATGTAAAACCTCGACGATCAGTGTATGTGAAAAATCGTGATGGACTGGATAAGCAATGCCATCACGCATTGTTGTTTTTATATATGATGTGATGAAACTTGGTTCTTCGATTATTGAGATCTTAATCTTATGTTGCAGCTCTGTTTCTTTAATTGCAATCGTGTGGGCACTTGGAGAATAACATGCAAAGCAGCGTTACAGAGGGACTAATCGGTGACAACTGAAAAACAAGGAGGCTCTAATGAGTGTAGCTGTGATCATATAAAACGTTTGACCAGTAATCGTCCCAACTAGGAAAAAAAAAAGAAGGAAATAAATGATCCAAGTCAATCAAAGTACACTTGCCGAACACATAACTTGTAACCTGTTCATGAGGCGACCATAATTTTCAAAACACCAAAAAAAAAGATAAGTGTCGAAGAATAGAATTGAAAAAACAAAATCATTGTAAAAAGAAGAAGAAAGGATTTGAGCAAATAACTTGTGCATGTTTTGGATCTCTTTGTTTGTTTTAACCAGAGTTCAAGGACTGGCCCATTGAGGTTAATCCCAGAAAGTGATTTACGCGGGAGGAGATCAGATCAGTGATTTGCTCTCCTTCGAACAAGGGACCCACCAGATTTTAATTAAGGATGACAAGCAGAGGTGTCTCTATCGACCAAGTTGTACGAAGTTGTGCGCCCGACCTTGTTCGACATCTCGCGCGATAACGCCAGAACCTTGTTTCATTCTTTCTATGGTTAAAAACACTGTTAGCCGGTTTCCTATACAGAGAGAGGAGAGGGTATCCTGTTTTCCATATATATATATATATATATATATTATGAAGAATATAATTTTTCCCTGATTTCTTTTTGGAAAAAAAGAGAGAGTAAAAATCGCCTTCTGTCATCAATCTATTGCTTCGCATATAGATTACCTTCCCATTTTCACAACTCTAGCGTTCCTGTGCATGCCATTTTTTTTATTGTTTATTATTTTTACTCTGCATAAAAATGTGACTTTGTTTTTCTTAGATACATAAGGGAATGTTTGGCATCGTTTTAAAAGCATTTTTAAAAAATTTAAAAATATTTTTATTTTAAATTAATATATTTTTATATTTTTAAATTATTTTAATGTACTGTTTTTAAAAATAATTTTTAAAAATAAAAATATATTATTAATATATTTTTTAAATAAAAAATACTTTAAAAAATACCTATAAATTTACAACCATACTCCCAAATAATCTCTCATTAACAGTGAGTTTATGCTCTATATATATATATATATATATATATATACTCCCAAATAATCTCTCATTAACAGTGGGTTTAAATTGTGGAGGACGTTTACGTATGAAAGAGAGATGGGATCGGAGAAAGAGAAGAGAATGGGAGAGAAACTTTGGAGAAAGTTCGAAGAGTACCAACCCGATCTTACACAATCTAAAACAATAAATTTTATAAAACTATCAGAATTTAAACATATAAGCCCTGAGTAGTCATGGATTGAACTAGTGGATTCATGGTTTAAATTTGTTATTTTCTTCAAAAAGGATTCGACATGCGGTGTAATACAAGTTTAAGAACTAGAGAAGCCTAAACTTTAAAAACAATATCGACATCTCCATTCATAGATCATAAAGCAAAAAAACAGAATCCAAATTTTAAATTCATGCATAAAACCATAAAAATCTTATGTGAATTATAAGATAAGAAGTTAAAAAAATGTATTGAAAAGTAAAATATTTAAATTAAAAAAAACCAAGTCGAGTGAGATAGCGAGTACATGCCTTGCCCAAACTTATCAAATTAAATTGAATTTTACCCATATTTAATTTAATTTAAAAAAATTAATTTAAGATAAATTAAAATTGTCTTGATGCTAACAGCGGCAAAACTAAAATTTTTTAAATAAAAAAGTAAATTATAATTATTTGATGTTATATATTATACAGTCTATATAAAAAAATCAATTTAAAATACATGTATTAACTCATATTAAATAAAATTATTTTAAAATTATTTTTAAAATAAGAAAAAATAGTATTTAATATTATTTAATAACACTACATAAATTAGAAAGATATTGCATGATAACGTAGCATTTGTGGAATTTAATCGCAATCCCAATAATAAAGATATCATAATTTTTATTATTTAATAACACTACTTAAATTAAAAAATTCAATTTTTATTGTTGTGTGCTTTAGAAATCATGGAAAATATAGTCCTTGTTAGATAGATTTCGTATGTAATGACATTACACATAGTTTAATGAAATAATAAAAATTATATCAATATTATTTATTTTATGAAGTAATAACAATAGTTAAATCTACAATATTTAACTTAAAAATCATTCATATATATAAATTATTTTATAACCTCAATTTGAAAAGCATTTTTTTAACCAAACACATTAAACTACTTTAGGACCCAGTGGCTGAGCCACAATGTGAATTAAGGGGGCAATTGCCCCCTTAATTCCCATTGTGGCTCAGCCACTGGGTCCTAAATTAATGATATATTTCATTTCGACCATCGCTCTCTCTCTCACCGCCCCACGTCTCTCTCCTTCTCTTTCCTTTCTTGTCTTCTTTTCACAATCTCAGTTTTAATTTGTTTTGGGTTAAACTTTCAAAGACTTTTAGGTGAACTTCTTGGATACCTTGCAGAGCTCGTAATCGAAACCCTCTTCCACAAAATCATACCGTGCATCCATGAGAGAAATATGTGCCAATCTGGAACGGAGGCAAGCACGTAAAAGCAGTCTTATATTTAAGGAAGAAGCTTAAGTAGAAGACAAGATGAAAATGAAGGGAAGAAGAAGACTAATATCATACATTTCTAGTGCTGAGTTTATTCTACTAGTAAAAACCAGGTAAAAGTCACCGAAAATGCAAAATGCCCATTGTTTTCCATCATTGCTCCCTGGCTGCTTGCATCCTGAATTAGCCTAGATTATTAAATAAAAACTCCCTTTTATGATATAGAAATAACTTTATAAATAGTAAATTAAAACATATTGCAAAACTTAATTTTCAATCAATTCTATGTTAAAAAATAAATAAAAAATATCAATAAAAAAATAAAAAACTTAAATCAACCTTTAAATTTATGTTTCATATTAATAAATTTTTTATTTAATTTAGTTTGTTGATAAATCCCGAGTTTGACGGGTTAACCTAATTTGACTAGTTAACCCGGAATTTTATTTTTTTTGCTTTTTAATTAATTTTCTTCATTTAATTTAGTTTGTTGATAAATCCCGAGTTTGACGGGTTAACCTAATTTGACTAGTTAACCCGGAATTTTATTTTTTTTGCTTTTTAATTAATTTTCTTCATTTAATTTAGTTTGTTGATAAATCCCGAGTTTGACGGGTTAACCTGGTTTGAAGGGATAACCCAGTTAATTCAGATTTTTTTTCTTTTTCTTCATTAGTTTTTTCTCTCTGTTGGTTTTTTTTAATTAATCTATTTAATTATCACACTTTTATGACACGACCTTTCAGCCCGACCTACATCCAAGGCTCTTGGGTTTAATATTATTATAAATATTATAATATCACTCTTAAATCAAGTGTTGTAGCTAGAACAAAAGCTATTGGATATATCTTTGCAGAAATATATAACATTCTTAGATCTTAGCATTTTTTAATAGTTTTTATGCAAGAAAAAAATATAACCCGTGGTGTATGTCTTTGTTTTGGTTTTTTTTTTAAGTTTTTTATTATGTACTACACAATGCAATCCAAAGTGAAAAAACGTATGTCTTTGTTTTGGTTTTTTTTTTTTAAGTTTTTTATTATGTACTGCACAATGCAATCCAAAGTGAAAAAGCTGATACTTTTAGTTTTTTTTTGTTTGTGTTTTTTTTGTTTTGTAATTATTCTTTTAATTTAGTTTCTTAATATTAAATTTTTTCTATTTAATTATTAGAATTTCATGACATGGATCTCAAATTTAACCGGTTAACCCGGTTGATTTAGATTGTTTTTCTTTTTTCTCGTTACTTTTGTTCTTTCGATTTTATTTTTTAATATTGTATGCAGTCCACGGTGAAAGACATAAAAAAAATGGTGAAAAGATTTGTGCTTTTTTTTCTTTTTAATTAACTTTTTTTATTTAGTTTATTGATATTAAATTTTTTTCTATTTAGTTATCAGACTTTTATGACATGGATTTCAGGTTTGACGGGTTAGCCCAGTTAATTCATTTTTTTTCTTCATTAGTTTTTTTTTTTATGTTGATTTTTTTTCTTCATTAGTTTTTTTCTTTATGTTGATTTTTTTTGTTTTATTTTTTTAATTAATCTATTTAAGTATCACACTTTTATGACACAATTTTATAGCAAGATAAGTATCACACTTTTATGACACAACTTTATAGCAAGACTCATATCCAAAATTATTAGGTTTAGTATTGCAGCCCAGACCCATTTAAACTTAAATTTTTTAAATTTTGCATCTAAATCTAAAATTTTTAGATATAACTTTATAAAAAAACTAATATTTTTAAATTTAAATTAACACGCAATATGATTGAACTAGTATAATCTAAAACCTGATCTCTAAGACGGTCAACCGCAGACCTGATTGAATAAATATGCTTTTCATTTGTCGGTCTTCGTCGTTATTTTCTAAAAACTAAAAGACTCAAACAGAAGACTCTAAAATAAAATGACCAGTGATAGACAAGCTTTTCATTTGTCTCTCACTGTGCCAGACGCGGATCGTGCGATATCGTTAGGCATCTGTCGTTTATCATCAATATTCGCGCGGCAACGCCCCAGATGTTGCCGCTCCATCAACAGTAAAAGACGTCTTTTTGGGAACAATTAGATTGGAAATCCTCTCTTATTATCTCTATCATTGTTAACAAAATCTTAAAAGAGGTAGGAAGAAACACTGTTTCCCCGTCTTCACCTATCACGGTGGACAAGAATAGTATTTTCCTTTTCTTGTTCTTTATTTTTTATTTTAATTATTGTATTTTATTTTAATTTTATCTGTTAATATTACATTTATTATAAATTAAATTTCATATAAAATTATTTCAATCTATAAAAAAAACACAACATTAAATTGAAGGTTGATTTTTCAAGAAAAAATTTGATTTTATTCTTCTTAAAAGATTATATACAAGTGAGGTAAGATGAAAAATAAAAAAAAAAAACAAAAGTGGTGTCAACTTTTGTTTGGAAATTTTCACCATAAGAATTTTTTTCAATTTTTATTTTTTTATAATTATATATTTTAGTTCAAAATTTTATTTTGCTCATAATTTAGTTTTTAATAGAGAAAAAGGTGGTTTGGTCACTTCTATTATTAATCCCAAAATTGATGTCAATTCCTTTCTCTTGATGAGAACAGTACCGTTTCGATATTTTTGGGTGTTTTTTATAGTTGTAAAAAAATAGATTAAGAGAGTGTTTTTTCTTGATTTTGTGTTTTTTAACCAATTTTTAAGAGAAGAAATGAAGTAGAACTGAGATTATCTCAAGAATATTTTTATATAAAAATAAATTAAAATTTAGTTTTTTAAATTTAAAAACATCTTAGCTTGATTTTTCGGTCTTCTTTTGTAAAAGACTTGATCTAGTATGACTTGTTCAAAAATCCAAATTATTTCATTATTTAATCAATCAATCTGGTTTAAGATTGACAAGTTTTTAATATAAAAATTATTTCCTGATTTAATAAATATGATTGTAACCTACGAAATTTCAGTTTTTATAATCCACATTAACCGCCAGCTGGTTCGAAGTATCTGGCCTCCACATAATCGAAGGGAACTGAAGTGTTGTCTAAATGTCTGTCACAAGTTTGTGAACGTGTCCAGAGAACGTGGCTCTGCATCTGAAAAAATAATAATAATAATAATAATATGACAATGTCCCATAGCTTACTATGCATGCATGGTTCCACGTACAGGCTCCAGCTGACGCTACAAATCCAAATGGCGCACATGCATGTTTCATGGTAGGAGGTGGTTGAGGGATCGATGAATCATGCATGGTCGCCACTCGCCTGCTGTGTCCTGCTCAGTTTCAGGCACGGTTTCTGGAAAGAGGTTACAGCTTGTTTCATCTGTTTTTCGAAACAATCGTTGCCGGAAGAGCGGCATTAGAATTGTTTTTTAAAAATTACATGTTAGAGTTTTAAAAGTTTTAGGGTTGTTAAAGATTTATATAATTATTAATTTTAAAATTTATAAAATTCATTGAGATAAATAACACTACAACCTTAGCCACTTTTTAATCCAGCTTGTGTTGGGTTGCCATGACAACCATAATTGGACAAGCCCTCGATCTGCCCTGGTTGTTGGTATCTGTTTCAGGCATTGTTCTTGCCTTTTCATTAACTAGTTTCTATATGCTTATTAATTATCATGATCAAGATACGGTTTTACCACAAAAAATTCTATTAATTTTCTATCCAGATTCCACACCCCCACCTTACGTTCCACGTTCCACAAATTTGTCTCCGGAATTCTCTTTAATTAACGAGACAACGTTCGGAAAGTTTTCCAACACGACGTATCATATCATTAACTAGGCAGGTGGTCACCAGGACATTTCTTAACGTGTTTTAAACGAGAAGAAAATAATTATAATTCACGTCATATAGATCGTTGTGTATATTTAATTATATTATAAAAAATAAGCTATTTTTATTAAAAAATAATCATAATAACATGCACAAAAAAAAGTATGTTAAAAGTAAAATTTCACAAAACTTAATTTTTTAAAAATTCAATATTGAATGATAAATTAAAAATATAAACAAAAAAAATCTTAATTTATCAATCTAAAATAGTATATCAAACCCGCGACTTAAATTATAAAATTAAAATAATACTATAAAAATAATAATATTCAATTTACAGCACAATAAAATTCATTATGACACTTCAAATAACATGACAGACAACAATTTTTGACCAACAAAAGTTTTTTAACCAACAAAGGTCACATGCACCGCTTGAACATGCATGATTAGCCTTTTCCTTATGCTAGCACATGCAGTCCATGCACCATCATAGCTAGCTTACTCTTTTTTTCTAATCCATTATATTTGTTTTAGATTTAATTTTAGTTTTTTAAAATTTAATTATTTTATATCAATAAAATTTTACTTTATTTTGCCAAACTAATCATCTATTAAGTTTCATAATTTTTTCAAGACATTACAAAAACTCATATCCAGACAAATAAAACAAACTAAAAGTCAAATCTCAAATAAAGCTAATTTAAATTTATAAAATTAAAAAAAAATTGAGCAACTAAATAAAAACATAAAATCTTATCATGACCGTACAATTTAATCCTTGATACTAGATAAAAAAGGGACCGGATATTTTACTAAGTCTCAAATTATGTCCCCTACACTCTAACTCTTTTAAATCAATTAAATATAATTTTATTTTGCAAAACCACACCCCAAGATTCCCATACGGCAAGCGTGAAAAATAAATCACCGAGAAAATCTCAAATCAAAGTAATGTTAAAGGACTAAATGAGAGAAAAAGAAAATTGAAGGACCAAAGCATAAAAAAGCATAGCTACCGGAAAAAATTAAAAAAAACTCAGTCACTCAAGCCCTCACCCATAATTGTGCTGGCTTAACTTGATAGGCTCATGTGCTTGGACTCATTTTTGATGGTCTAACCGCTAGGCCACCTAAACTCGCACACGTCATTTTTTTTAAACGTTTTTTGTCTTCATGTTTTTTCTTCAATTTATATTTAGTACCTTTTAAATTAATTAATTTAAAATACATTAGATATATTATTTAATTTAATTCTTAGATTAATTAAGAATATATTTTAAATATTATTTTATTAAATGCCTTCAAATTTGTACGAATAAGATTATAATTGTATTTTTATAATACTAGCAAGCATTATTTTTACACCGTTCATCATTACTGTATTTTTTTTAAAAATTATTTACTTGTTTTTTTGCAAGTATATATTTTTATTATCATATAATTAAATTAAAAATTATTTTAAAATTATTAAATTCGATCGAGTTTATGATCTAAATTGTGGTTTGATGGCATAACCGAAAATGATTAAGGTATATCTAAGTTGTCATGGTACTAATATTTTTTTAAAAAATATCATTTTAAATTTTATTTTTAAGTTAAATTAAATTTTTATTAATCATTTAAATTATTTTTAAATTTTATAAGTTAATAGATTAATATCAAGATGAATGATTTCAATATTTATATGTTATGTTAGTTGAGATGACACTATGAAAGCGGTTCGATGATAGCACACAATCATTGTATAAGAGTTTCGCACGACACCATCACTGAATCTATATAATTACGTTTTTTTATTTTTTGTTTACTAAAAAAATACATCATCAACCCGTATATTGTTTTTTAAATTCAAAAAACACTCGTCTTTAACCGTGTGGGGCTTCTTTTTTTTTTTTTTGCTATTGTTTTTTCCTTTTCCTAAGAAAAAAAAAGGTCACAGGCTCCATCGCCCGATTACTCACTCGTATCGCGCGTCCTTGCGCGGAGGAAGAGTTTAAGAAAGAGTGCCCGAAATTTCCTCCTCAATTCGCCTAAAATACTGTAATAACTACAAGGTTTGATATGCAAGTGTTTCCCCCGATTCTTAGCCCTAAACTAGGTGATGCTTAGTTTTCCCAAGTTGGTAGGCTAATGCCATTGCTGAGTTTCGGTTGTCGATCATACAGGGATATCAACCGTTTCTGATACAAGGAAGAAAGAAAACAGCAGAGCAAAGCAGATCGCCATTGCGAAAAGATCATGGAATGCACAATGGTAGCCGAGGAACCAAGCCCTAAGAGATCGATTGAGAGTAGGCTTCAGGTATGTACAATTCTATTGCAGCCATTTGCCATGGGGTGGTAGGAATCCATCCAAAGAATGTTTAATTGATGCGCCAATATTGCTACGTGCCTCCGATTTAGTACAAATTCTATATGCATGCTCACTTCTTGTAATCATAGCTCGGTGTTCGTCGATTTGGAGCAGTAAAACTAAACTAGTGGTTTTAATTTTAATCTTCTGACGTGGTTTCTCTAATTTAGATTCTTATTGTTTACTGCTTCTGGACGGTAGATCAAAGTGAAACTACTGTAGGGATACGAGGGTCGATACTCTAGAGAGTCTTTAAACTCGCTTCATGAAAAAGGTAGTCAGTCTCTAAAGATTCTCTCTTTTGATTTTACATGCCTGCTCCAAGGGTGAAGACGAATACAGATTTCTCGAGGTCAAACAAGGCGGATACAGGGTTCAAAAGAGATAAATTCAAACTCAAAAACCTCAAAGCTCACGGGTGCACCCAAGAACACTAACAAATCTTACACAAAACTCAATAGACAATAAAGAACATAATAGAAGTCTTGATGGGTTGTTGCTTAAACAAAAAAGGGTACCTCAAAACTCACACATAAGAGCTTATTTTTTTCTTAAAATGGCTCTTTCATGTACAAAGCGGCTACACGCATTTAATAGAACCTACCCCTACAAATGGGTGTTTAAGCTCTTGTCACACGGTAATATGACACTTTTAGCTCCATCTCAAGCGTATCAAAGTATAGTTTGAATTCAGGCGGCATGTGCGGTTGATTTTATAATTATAATTGTGTTTCTATTATATTATTTGATTTATCTTAGTCTTTTTTTTTTTAATTTCTAGATAGAATATATATGGTAGTAGAAAGAGGTTTGGCCGGAAATAACTTTTTTTCTTTTTCTTTCTTTTTTTTTTCTTTTTTTTGGGATTGCATGATGGTCATAAAAAAATTATATCAGCCCTTTAATTTATTTTTTCTTTAGATTCAGTTTATCTTCTTTTATTTGTAATTTTTTTTATTTACATTGATTATATTTAATTGAATTTTTTTTATTTCATCTATAGTCATTTGATTTTTGAATATTGTTTTCAAATTTGATTCTCATCCTTTCAATTACTATTTGTTTTATTTTGAATTATTTTTTTAATTGATTTGTTTTTTTTTTATTTCATCCCCAGACATTTATTTTCATTTAATTTTTATGTGAAATTTGATCTAACTTTTTTTAATTACTATTTTTTAATCATTTTTTAATGGATTGATTTTTTACAATTTCATCCCTGAATATTTAATTTTTTTAATGAATTTAGTCCTAATTATTTTAATTGTTATTATTATTGTTTTTTTTGTTTTTTTTTTTTGTTTTTTTCCTCAATTTCATCCATTGATTTTTGTTTGGTTAAGAATCTGGCCTCCTTATTTTTTCAGGTTTGTCTTTGATGGGGTCACACTAGTCTTATGACCCAGGTCATAAATCTAAAAGATTAGCCCAAGTCGACTTTTGTTTTTTTAAAACATTTTTTTTAATATTGTTTTACTGGTATTTTTTAAGCTTTCTTGTTTCTTGATCTGATATGGCTGATTTTTGCACTGTGAAGTATGTATTGAAGAACCTTACATACACTATGGAATGATTAAAACATGTTTTTGACAACTTTAAAAATTCAAATGTATCTAAAAAAACTCCTTTATTTTTTACAAACAAGACTCTGATATCAATTATTGATGTGAGAGACTGCTGATGGTGGTTTTGAAATATTCAAGGAAGATAAAACAATCCTTTTTTTGTTTTATAAACAACAAGTGTACATAATTTGCAAACTTTCAAACACTTACCATCTCTTTTTTTATAGTGTTTCTCTCTTTTATTTCTTATACTCAATAACATAAACTTAATTATCTATTTATACATAAAATGAAAAAGTGAAAAATCAAAGTTCCATGTGTGAAAGATAATTGTAGATTGTAATGTGAAAACGAATGGTGATTATGGTTAATGATTGTCTTTCTTGACTTTTTAGATGGAGTTTACTACAATGATTATTTTAACCTTTTTTTTATATTGTTAAAATTAAGTCAACCTGCCCAAGTTTTGATCGGGTGTTAGTTCGGGTCATGAGTTAACCAAGTTTAATAACTTTGATCTACTGTTAAATTGTCATGTGGTCACATGACCACTAAGCTATAGGAGTTGCTAACATGCATCTGATGTGTACCAATGCATCATATAACCTCCATTTGGTAGAAGCCATGTCACAACCACTGGTATTAAACATGGATCGTCCTGACCGGTCGACCTGGGATCCAGTGGCTAGATGAATCCAAGTTTATTAAAAGATCAGCTAATGCAATAACTCGATAAAACTCGATCGACTTGGTGGGTCGACTTATGACTCAAGCGACCCAAGTGAACTTGGACGAAACTTGTTTTTTTTTTTTCAAATGTGGTTTTTCTCATACATACCTCTTTTTTCATATTTTTTTGTGGTTATTAACATTTTTTAAAATTTACTATATAAATATTAAAAAAATATTTTATTTTTTCAATGTGAGATTTGAAACCCTTTAATATATATACTCTATAAAAAAGTTATGTTTTTTCAAAGTAAGATTTGAAGCCCTTTAATATATATACTCCATGTTTTCAAGAAAAACATTATTTTTTCAATGTGAGATTTGAATCCTTTTTTATATATATACTCTATGTTCACAAGAAAAAAATTATTTTTTTAATGTAAGATTTGAAGCCTTTTCATATATATACTCCATGTTCACAAGAAAAAAGTTATGCTTCTTCAATGTGGGATTTGAAACCCTTTAATATATATATATATATATATATATATTTTTTTTTAAAAAAATATTTTTTCAATGTGGGATTTGAAGTCCTTTCGTATATATACTCTATGTTTACAAGGAAAAAGTTATGCTTTTTTAATGTTATGTTTTTTTAATATATAATAAAAAAACTTTTTGGTTTAAATACTTCAACTTCAAAGGATAACATAATATCTTTTCAATGTGAGATTTAAAGCTTTTTAATATATTACTCTATATTCAAAAGAAAAAAAGATATTTTTTCAATATGGGATTTGAAACTCTTTAGTATATATACTCTACATTCACAAGAAAACAAGTTATGTTTTTTCAATGTGGGATAAAAAAATTTTGATTTAAATATTTGAACTTAAAAGGATAATATAATATATCTTCAATGTAGGATAAAAATCCTTTTTAAAATATTTTTTTAAACTTCATTATTTACTATATGTATAATCTATATTCAAGTTTTATCTTTTCTTAATTTTTTCATATGAAATATTAAAATTTTAAATATATTTTTTTAATTTTTTTGAATTGACCTATAAAACTTAAAACTCGATCTTTTAACCAGATTAACTCCCCAACTGAGTTTAATAACTATGCTCACATCATGAAAATACTCCTTTTGTTAAAATTGAACTTATTTGCTTCTATCTCTTGAAGGTGTACTTTATTTTTTAACTTCATGGTTCGTGGGACTCATATTTGAATCCAGGACCTCACTCCCTCTTGTTTGGAAATACCATCGGCCTACCTAAGCACTCATTCGTTACTAATACTGTCAAATTTAAATTTCTACTTGGTCTCAATTGCATGCGTTATTGAATTTCTGAAGCCATATATGAGAGCATATATTATATAACAGCATGTTCAAGGTGGTCAATATTTACTTCAATAATCAATGATAATTTTTTTACCAATAATTCTTCTTAGATTCTCACGAACCCCCCCTGTTTTGCACGTAAATATTGGCATGCCTATAACGAAGTTGAATTTCATCTTGCTGCAGGAATTAAAAATGGACTCGAAAATACCAGCTAGTACTATTTTGTTTCCTTATATTCATAATAAAAATTCTCATATTCATAATGCTATGAAGTGGATAAAAAATAACCTTAACTATTTTATTTCTTAGGAATACAAAATACTTGATAGCAACGTAATAACAGAGTCTTCTTTTTGTCCCTCTTCACTTGAAATATCAACCTTGCCCCTTCATGAACAACTCGCAATTCTGAAGTAGCTTCTGCAATTCTTTACTTTTATCGTTTTTCTTTTGGGTGCCATGTAAAGTAGGTTTAGTGATCTTGCATCTACTCTACTTGCTAACTTGACCTCAGGGAACAGCTCACAGAGATAATGTTATTTATGAGGATCAATATTTTTCTCTGTGCCGACAACATATGATCCTTTTTCAGACGTGTTTTATGTTAATTTTAAGGTTATGGCCTGTTTTAATGTGAGACTAAAATGATGTTATTTTGCTCAATTTTTTGTGTACAGAAAAGGAAAAGAAGTGGAAAAATAAAAGCAACGGTGAAAAGGTTAAAAGCTGAGATGGTAGAGATTGCTGAGCAACAAAAACATATTAGAGAAGGGCAAAAGGAAGTCAGAGAGAAGTTTGAAGAGATTGAGTTTCAATGTGATGAACTCAAAAAGGAAACGTTCCTGATATCACAACAAGCTGCAAGCAATCAGAAGCGCCTAAATCTCATGTTCAAAATTTTGAAAGCACGAGATGAGAACAATTTTCATGAAGCTGCCAGTCTTACCCAGTCTCTTCGGTTAGCTTCACCTAAATCTTTCTTTAGTTTCGCTAACAAAATCCCTGTGACTTTGGTTGAATGCATGCATGGGATGGCTAATTGGTCCCCTTAAGTTTACGTATATCTTTGTCTGGGAAATACAAGTGGCTTTAAAGCTAATTTTGAGTATTCGATCAGGGTATTTCTTTTCAAGGATTCTTGGCCGGGACTAATCCTCCTATATCCTAGCATTTACAGCCCCATGGTAGATGAGTTTCATGTCAGATAGATGGTCTACCCTTGAACTCTCTCCTGGTGGAGAAAACACCAGGCTTGCTGTTGCCAACAGGGGGCTCAACTTTCTATTAGGCAATCCATTGACGCATCAGAATAGATCAGAAAAATGGCCTGGGAAGGGGGGAATTGAGATTTTGACTTGAAAATAGAGGAAATATATAGGTGATCTTTTTATACAATCATTTCATTCGTAGGCAGAACGTACTGAATTTACTACTTGGATTGACCACCTAGAAAATTAGCATGTCTTCATATTAGAGAATAAGTTGTTTGATTTCAAAGTAGAGAAAACAATCCATGCCTGTCTGCGAGAGCGTTACTGCTATAATCACCCTGACATCAAATTGGCAAACAAGGAAATTAAAATTTTCAACTGTTAGAACCATCTTTTGAATAGTCCATGCACTCTCACCTGCATGGCCGACAACTCCTAGAATGAACTGCAAACTACAAATCGGATATGCTTGAATGATCATGAGCCTGCAAACCAGAGTGATTGTTAGTGCCCCCTATCTCCTCTGGTTCTATATATGCCATCTGATGTTAAAACATATTAACTGTTTATTTAATTATATAGGAGAGGTTCGAACTCGAGTTCTCTTGGGAGGGCTCGGGGGACGCTAATGTCTGCTAGGCTACAGCTTGTTGGGACATTTTTTGTTATTAAAAAACAATTCAGCCAAATCTCTAGATGCAGCAGATGTAGAAGCGACTTTTTGTATGTTTGATTTTCGAAGCATACAATCCTCAGTCTTTCTCCTTTATTTTTGCCAGAGAATGCATGAGAAGCAAATCACAGAGCAATACTCAAGTGGTTGTGGATGCGAGTGGCACAGTTGGAAAAGAATAACAGGAATCAGCCATGCATGAAATCCAAGATCACTGGAAATGGCTTTATGGGTGTGTTTTCAATAATTTGGCTTGTCATGTAAGTAACTGTTGGAGTGTTAAGATCAATAGCTTTCAACTGTTAGTTTGTTTTAAAATTAATGTTGAATCTGCTACTTTGATTGTTGCAAACGCTTATGTTGAGTCTGGCTTTGCTTATTAGCTACTGGAATGGCCTAAAAGTTAATAATCTCTTTTACTATGGTAGGCAAGGAGAAATCTTTCTGGATATGAATGCTTCCAATAAGCTGTTTCCGCAAACCTGTTTTTCGCAATCAGCTTCCGGATTGCTAATGCTCTGCAATCAGTTCTCTTTATTAGTAAAATCCGCTTCTATGAATAACAGAAGCGGGCGACCACTGTAGAAAAAAAATCGATCCTTGTTTCCTTTTAGGTCATTAGTGCACGCCTAAGTTAAAGCTCAACTTGAACAAATTCTTTAAATAGAAAGAAAAAGTTCAATTACAAGTCTCATGAGCTAGCTATCATGAAATAAAAATTCACATAAACGCGTCAATGAATATATACAAATTCTTTAAATAGAAAGAAAAAGTTCATCTCTGTAGCACCTTTGATGGGGTTGAAATTAAGAAAACCTCATTAAACGGGAACATAAGTTCCAGAGTTGCCATCAATGGCTGTTGGGAATTGTCATTATTATGGCAAATACATATCTTTTTGAAGAAGATAGCTTCCGTTGTCAAAGAGAGTTGTTACTGCAGCAACCAAAAATCACAAAATAGGCAAAAGTTAGGTGACCACCATGAATGAAGATGAGCCGGAGCAACACCATACTTGCTTATAAATAGACACCAAGAAAGCCAAGAACAAAGTGAGAGTGAGAGAGAGTGATGAGTGTGTATAAGAGAATAAGAGAGAAAGAGGGGCTGTCAAGGGCAGCAGTGAGCTGGGAGTTGAGTTTGAGTGGGTGTAATCCCCCTCCTCTATGTATTTGTTTTGTGTTTTTTTCTCTATCTCTAATAATATCGACTCTCTCGTAGATATAGATGATTTGTCGAACCACGTTAAATATTATGTCAGTATGCTTGGTCTCCTATGAGCAAATATCAGTACATCACCAGTCGGATTCCCCAATAATTGGTATCAAAGCATAAGTTTAAAGTGGTGTTTGATTTTGCTCAAAAATAAAAGTTGTCAAAATTGTGTTTTGACCATGCTACTGTGTAGAGGAGTAAGAGACAAAGCCACTGTTGAAAATCACGTCAAAATCAAACGTCAGAATCCTCTTCATGCGCCGTCACGCGCCGGCGGGGTGGCTGCCCACGCATGTAGACTCGAGCTACGCGCCACACATCCAACCTACGTGCCAGATCCGGATGATGATGATGTCATCCTTGCATTAGCATGCCATTTTTACAACCAATCAGCAGCCACGTCAGCATTGTAGGACCCACCTGTCGTATCATCCGTCGCGCCAAGCCGAGCCGAGCCAAGTTGGAGCCTAGCCGAGGGATAGGATTCTGTGTAACGGAGTCTACATGCAACCGGATCTGAGATTGAATCTAGACCGCTGATTAGGCCATAATTATTTTGATCAAATCTTAGCCATCTGAAGTGTAATTTGAATGATTTCAGACTTCTTTTCAGCTAATTTGATCGTTTTAGATGCAATGTTACGATTCGATCATTGAGATTGAGACCAGAAATGACGACGGTGAATTATTAAAGAGAGATTGCCCAATCATAAGGCATATGATGGTCATTATGATGGTCGATGAAGATGAAGAAGAAGAAATCGCACATGTTTGCCCAGTTACATGTGTTGAACTGCTAAGTGGGGAAATTTTAATTGCCTTGAGGGAAGATAAAATTGGGACACTTTAAACACCTGATCATGTGGATAATTGGAGGTGGAGAGTGGAAATTGATAAAGACCAATCTTAACGAATCTAAGCATTGGTAGTCTCGCTAGATGTTGAGAAATCAGGTACAAAATAAAGATACCCCAGATCACTTGTAAATGAAAGTCGCGACAAAGCTAGCAAAGGGTTCGCGACAAAGCTAGTAAATGGTTATATATACGAAAAGATAATACAATGGATAGATATAGCCTAAGAAGTTCTGGCTAGGAGATTGGGTTTTAAGCGGGACTAGTGTGACCCTTCCAATCTTTCCTAGGAACTTGTTTAGTGAAAGGATTATCTATACGGTACTATTTTCGTATATGTGACAATATGTGACAATTTATTATGAAACTATTGAAGACTAGCAGGATAACGGCACAAAGGAACAGTTGGGTTCCGTATGATCAAGGATCTAATGGAGTGGTGATTTCTCCAAAGAAGTTAGATTTGGTGACTATAATTTCTCGGAGGGTAGAATTGATGAAGACCCTGATAATGAAAGAGTAATACAGTAAGTGGATAAAGATTGGCACCCTATTTTGACTTGGATAGATGTTGTAACCGGATGAGCTGCTGTTAAATATAAGCAAGGAATAAGGAGAAATCTGGAGAACAACAATTACATAAGGGCACACGGAGATTGTGCAGGAGTACTCGGAGGATCCAACGAGGTATTGTAATGAGACAACAAGTGCAAGGAGAATAAGTGTTCCCAGATGAAGCTCAGAGCAGAGACTATGTGAAGGTTATACAACAGGAAGTCTCTTGTGCTCTTGATGAAGGCAACAAGCGAGGACCTTTTCAATGCATACAAGGATGGAAAGATAAGCTATTACAGAAGCACCTAATTGAGGGGGTGCAACCTCCTATGATAAAAGGTGAAGACACTAAAGGGAGTTGGTGTGGGTGAAGCTGTTAAGCAGAAAAGCATAGAAGCTCCAAACATAGAAATCAAAATGGATGATTGCGAGGAGTGTATCGCAACTCTCTCTTTCTATGTGATCAGTGGCAGTGATGCATGGTGGTAGGGAATTTTTGGAGCCACATTGAAGCGTCCCAGCTGGAAGAGGATAAGACCGCCTATGAAAGGCGAAGACACCTTAAAGAGAAGGTGTAAGGGCTATGAGATGAGCCCGAGATCAAACTGCCGTATGATGATAAATGGGGACACCTCAAAAGAAGGTGTGAAGGCCGTGATAGGAGCCCCAGTTCAGAATGCCCTAGAGCAAATATGATGGCTAGATATGAGTAGACAGATGGATAACCAATGAAGTGGCTATGATGAGTATGAAGATAAATACTAGATTGATTTTCATGGATATTGCCCCCATGCTAAAGATCAATGAGTTAGAAGACATTTGCCTTAGACAATAAGTGGATGAGTTGTAGAGCATTAAGACGCGACTGCTATGTAGGAGCAGAGGGCATCCGCAGGTTCCTGGAACAAGTTGACTCTTGTCAAAGTGGTGAGCTCGATAATGACATTATAATACTCAAAGTATGAAGACAAATATGGATCAACTTTTAATGGGTGGCCCCCATGGTTAAAGGTGGAAAGCTACCTGGACTCTTGAGACTAAGAGCAGGAGACTCATGGAGAAGTAAAGCGTGGTTCCTAGGGTGGAATAGAGGGTAGACGCAACTCTTAGATGAGTAGACTCTTTGAAGAGTAGTGAGTTTGTGATAATGACTGTCGCATTTGGGAATAGAAATTTTCATTTGAGGGGGTGTTGTAAGCCTTGGCGTATAATCATCCCGGACTGAGCATGGTTGATACGCTCGAAGGGGAATGTTGTGTCCTAGAGACAAGCGTTAATATTCTTCAAATGTGATGTGAGAAACCATCTGGTCGAAGTGATCCTTTGGTGTGAGCAAGGGTGTGCTCAGGTTACTCTGGTGATTGAAAAGTTTGGTGAGTACCTGTAAACTTAGCCACAGACGCTCTCAGAATGATAAGTTTAGAAAAGCTGTAGGATGCATGCTTATACTGAAGAAGCAAGAGGACAATTGCCCATATAAATAGCAAAGAGGGTGATTGTTGGGAATTGCTATTATTGTGGCAAATACATATCTTCTCAGAGAAGATAACTTCCATTGTTAAAGAGAGTTGCTGGTGCAGCAACCAAAAGTCACAAAGTAGGCGTCACAAAGTAGGCAAAGGTTAGATGACCACCATTAATGAAGATGAGCTGGAGTAACACCATTATACTTGCTTATAAATAGGCACCAAGAGAGCTCAGAACAAAGTGAGAGTGAGAGAGAGTGGTGAGTGTGTGTAAGAGAATAAGAGAGAAAGAGGGGCTGTCAAGAGCAGTAGTGAGCTGGGAGTTGAGTTTGAATGGGTGTAATCCTCCTCCTCCTCCTCCATGTATTTATTTTGTGTTCTTTCTCTATCTCTAATAATATCGATTCTCTTATGGATATAAGTAATTTGTCAAACCATGTTAAATATTGTGTTAATATGCTTAGTCTTCTATAAATAAATATCAATACATCACCGGTCAAATTCCCTAACGGCTACCAATAAGAAATTATTGGATTGGTTTTAACTTCAGTGAAGATGGAGGACAGACTAAGCAATTAGCCTTATAGCCTTTAATTTCCACGACATCCTGTTTTTCCTTCTTGATAGCCAAAAAAGCATTCCAAACCTCAATCATGTCCACGATATTAAAAAACATCTTGACTCCTTTTCCCTGTCATTTATTCCTTCCGGGGATCACGATCTTTCAAGAAATATGGCAACTAGACGATATTGTCTGAACACGACGATCCTAACTTCTCTATGTGCAAATTTCATTTTCTTTGCAAGAAAAAAGGTCTGTGATTATGATTTTTTTAGGGTTATCAATTATGCTATAACTCATCTCAAGTTTTTGTTGGTAGCATTTTTGTCGTAAGGAAATGCCCAAGGATATATGTTATGACATGGTTGCAATCTTCCGAGCCGAAGCTTACATTTTTCATTGATTTGCCTCCTGTATAGCTAGTGGAGATGGATTTTTCAAGTGTTTATTAATGTTTTACTCTTTTTTTAAGGTTTATATATATATATATATAATTAAATATAATTATTTGTTTGTTCACTTACAAAAAAAGAGATATAAAAGGTGTAATGGTGGAAAAAGAAGAATTTATTATATCATTTATTTTATAAAATATAACCATACATATAATATAAATATTTCAAATATAATATTATAGACATATAATTATTTTTTTTCCCTATGGCATCCTAATTTTATAACAAATTTTATATGATTTAAAATGTATATTTACCATGTTTTGTATTTGAATGTGTTTTTTTAATAATATTATGAAAGTTAAAGTATTATATGCACTAATATACTTTTATGTTGTATATTAATTATCTTAATATATTATTTCATGTATAAATATATTATTATTTTATTATTTTCTAATAATATTATATTTTAAAATATACACTTACACACATACACTTTCATGTTTGATACCCAATTTAAGGTTTGCTCCCTTCTTCTTCTTTTTTTCCTTTTCTTTTCGCCAATAACGACAAACACAATATTAACAAGTCCAAATTCCAAAGTCACGACAAAATGAAAGACCGAAGTCTTCCACTAACCTTCTGATGTAGACGAGGGGGCACTTCAAGCAACATTTTTATTTCTTAGCACAAAGTCTTCGTCAATGACTACTCACAATTACAGATCAGAAACCCTCCACGGTCTTGATTTATCACGGCTTGGTTTTTGAGACAATATATATATTAAACAGGAAATTTCAGAATTCATTAGAGAGCGATGGATCCTGATCATTTTGATAATCAAGAGACGGTATGGGAATGGGGGTGGGAGAGGTGCATCCAGGAACCCACTGGAGATACCTCCTGTAAGTAATAACTGATCATTTATACTAGGAGTAGCTGCTTTTGTATCTTTATTAATTATTTTATTGTTTGATAAAGGGTTTGTATTGTTATCTTGCTTTGGTTTATTGGCGTCTCTAATTTTCCAAATCAAGATGCTGTGCCTTTGAGACTTTTGGCATGGCGGTGTGAATATGAACCCAATCTAGTTGATTCAAGATTCATAAAATTAACTCGCCCCCTCACACAAAAACTAAAAAAGAACATAGAAAAAAAGACAAAAAAAAAAAAAAAACAGAGTTATAAGAAATGACGCTGTAGCTACCAAACAATTTTACCCGGTTGTGGCTGTAATTATAACTGCTGTGCTCTCTCTCTCTTTTCTGGGTATTTCCATATGCTGCATGTATAAAACTTAGCGTGAAAAGAAAACAGCAGCAGGAACACCCCCATCGGCTCATTTTTCTGATTTGTCTTGTGGTACTGTCCGAATTCAACAGTCTTGGATGCAGCAAAGCCAACGCCAAAGGCACAACTTGATAACATGGCTGCCGGATCAAGTACCATATCAGTACCCAAAACAGAGGATCGACGCGACAGGAAGAAAGGTTACGACAAAGCATATCGCGATCGTTGTAGGGTACTCACTTTTTTTCTCAATTAATCTATTTGTTTTCTTGAGCAGTACTGTGCTACATAAAAAACTGGTCGTTCAATATTATATATGCAGGAAGGCAAGAAAAGACAGGAGGATGAATTGAAGATGCAAGCGGTAGAAAATGCACGCTTGAAGGATGAAAATGAATCCCTGGTGAAGGAAAAAGATACCATATTGAGTCCAAAGCTGGAATTAGCAGCAAATGTGATAGATCAACTTAAAAGTGAAAATCACGACTTGAAACGTATTAGTGACCACCAAATAATTCGTCTGGATGCATTAACAGAAAAAATTGTATATATTTTATATCCCAGGCCTTACTAATTACTTGTTTATACACTCATATATTTAGTTTATTTTATCACCAGATTTAGTTCAGGAATCAAAATAATCATATCTTATACTGCTTGGATGTTTATTCCCCGAACAGTCAAGCCACGGTGAACTTGAAAGCCTCCGTGATGAAGTTGCACGATTGAGAGAAAACGTCAATGTCCAGGATCCCAGGATGCAAGAAAAGAAACAGCTCTTGGAAGAGCATCTGAGGTTAGCAAACGAAAACAGACTGCTGGAATTGCAAAATGAGTTTTATTGCAGGATGATACAAAATGAGAGGCACCCTGGAAATTAAGGATGAAGCTGAGTAAGGTAACATGTCTATTTACTAGTTTAATTAACGATATCTTAGATGAATAATTTGCCTTCTAGCTTTATTGCAGGAGTGCCACATAAAGCAGCGGGTTGCGCGACCGCTATAATTAGATGCCGATCGTACTATATAGATTATCTTGATAGCGCTCCTGTGCCTTCCAAGTCAGTACTTCACCTGCAAACTCTCTATTAATATTTGACCACCCTTCGACGAATAAGGAAAAAGAGGAAGAAGATGGCTTTATTGCGGCAGAACAATCAAAGGTCTTCCGTGTTGGTGTTGTGTTTGCCGGCGAATAAAACGCTGGCGCCTGCTTCAATTTGTCACGCTTGTTTTATCTATGTATGTGTCAACTCTCAAGATTAATTTTTCTATAAATCGCCTCCTCTATTGATTAATGCTGGTCCTGGTAAGGTTTTAGTTACTTTCTTTTTGTTTCATGCTATATCCTTCAATGGGTAGATCATCGTATTGATAACATATACATCTAATTTAATAAATTATTCATCAACATTTCTATAGAGAGTTCAACCTCGTTTAACAATTTATATTTTCATTTTAAAATGATTTCTGAAAATGGCACCAAAATCATTTTAATAATAACATAATCATAAATTTTAATCCTACTATCCATATATATATACATATATATTCTTTTAATCAAATTAAAAAGTTAGGTTTTTTTGGCTAGGATTGTTTTATAGTGATTTTTTTAATTGATTTATTTTTTATTTTATTTTTTTAATATTATGTTGGTTGAAAATTAGACTTTATAATTTTTTATTTATTTTTTATGATGTTATTTTGATATTTTGACTTAAATTATGAGTTTGGTAAGTGAATCTAAGTTGACTCATATGATTCTTTTTGTTTTTTTAATTTAATATTTCTTTTCAAGTCTATCCATTAACATTGTATTGATTAAAAATTGATATTTTATAATTAATTTTAACTTATTTTTTATAGAGTTTTATGATATTATAACAAGAATCGCTGATTTAATAAATTAACTTGAATTAATTTATTATATCACCATCTAAATATTTTTTTTTAAATAACTATGAATCTGTCACTCAATCAATATTTAAAAAAAATGTCCAATTTGCATTATATTTTGATTTCATGATTAAATTATTTTAAAAAAAAAATACATTGATAATGCTTTGATATTTTTTAAATTAAAAAATAATAATATAACCCACAATGCTTAATAATCTAATTATTTACTATTTACAAGAGATATGTAAATAAAAAAAAACACTAGCATGAAGTTTTTAGTATATGTTTAGTGTTGTGATAGTTTTTATAGTTGCGGTTAGAAAAAATTTAAAAAATATATATTTTTAGTTATATTTTTTAAAAAGTATTTTTTAAAAAAAAATACATGTATTTAGTTAAAATTGTTATGAAAAAAATACATGTATTTAGTTAAAATTGTTATGATATAGACTTTTGCATGCAAAATAAATTAAAAATAAATCATTATAAATTAAAAATAGTTCATTTTAACTTCTACAAAACTAAAATTTGAAATGTTATTATACATAAGATACATTACAAAATGCATAAACCATTTAACTAAACAAATAATTTTTTTCACGGTTGTGCAAAAAAAAAGAACTATCACATTACAGCATGTTCTCTTAGCTAAAAATTAGATTTTTGACAAGATTCGAGCTATGTGACTGGATTGAAGGTCCACAGGCGGTGACGAGATTATGTTTTACTTCCATGGCCAGGAGGACTAGAATTTCTGCCTAGAGCATCCTGTAAAACAAGCTGAAAGTACAGGAATAACTGTGAATAACTGTAACTTCATTATGTTTCGAACCCATGTCAAATCTCATCCTAAAAAACAACTCCAAGCAAATTCCCAAATTTTCCCGGCGAGAAAACCCAAAAACCAAGGAATTCCAGGAGAACAAGTCTTTCTCGGGCAATTCATCGAACAAATTAAGTGCATCTTTTGTGCGTACCAATCTAACATAACCAGCCAAGCCAACACTTGATCACCGATGAATCCATGATTATAATTCAGACTTGATTGCCGAAGTGTCTCTGCCATGGGTCAGATAATTTTTTTTCTCAATATTAAAAAGAAATTCTAGGGAAAAAAAATACGAAATCCAAATTATTGGTTGAACTCATAATTTAAATAATATGATTAAAAAAAGAAGTTAATGTTATGCTTTCCTCTTGTGGTCGTTCCTGGGCCAAGTAGTTGCTTGTTGTAGACTCCCTCGTTTCGCTACATAACAACCCCTTTGTATCATTTAGGCCCCTTCTCATATTATAGGGTCCTGCAAGGGATCGTAAGACACTCAAGCATCCTCGTGAGGGGAAACCCAAACCCATTAGTCGCTCTTAACAAATCTGTCATACTTGAAAATCTACCGTAATAAGAAAAGTGGCTAACCTTAAACTGAATTCGCTCAACAGATTCTAGCAAATACTTGCTGAAATCCTCCAAACGCAAGCGACTAGTGTTTATGGTGATTTTGGAGTGGTTTTTGTTGGCCATCCTTTCAACTTTTCAATGGCAGTTTCTGTCATCTGAAGTCGCTTAGTGGTGGTTGTCTTGATTTCTTGAAAAGTGAGAAAGTGAGGGTAGTAACAAGTAGCTCTGGTAATGCATTTGAAGCCGCCCTATAACCTTTGCCCACTATGTCGACAAATTCGCTTTCGTATCTTGAGGAAAGTTTTGCTTCCTCAGCCAGGCAGGATTGTTTTAGAAAGCTTACACTTTGCTTACATTGTTCTACTTATATGTCGGAATTGTGAATCTTTCTAGGATGTAATACCACGAGTTCTTGGGTAGCCGACTAGCAAGAGGAAGCCTGGAGATCAGAGCTGTAACCCTACGGAAAGATAATCCTTTCTGAAGTTTGGTTTCGCGCCTTCTCTTCTATATTGATAAAAATGGGCTTCTCTGAGGTCTAGCCTCGGTCTTTGCTTGCTGTAATATTAGGTTGAGAAAATAGCAGAACGGGATGCCTTTCACCAAATGAGTTAATATAGATAAGTTTCAAAAGTTCAAAGCAAATCAATAGAACATTTTCTATCTCTGCCACGAGAGCAAGATGATCCAAATCCTTCTCTTTATGGAAGCGAAGGTAAATGATATGATTTCTCCAGAAAAAATTAACTAGATAAATTGATAAAGGGGAAGAGATTAAAATGGAAGCATGAAAAGATTACCAGGTTCAATGATTATACGTTCGTCAATAGGTTGTTTGTTCAGCTAAGGTTTTAACAGACAACGAGACAGAAACTCTTTCCACATCCACGTATCTTACCAGAGTTCTCGTTCGCTTTGAAGTTGCAAATTGGTTGTAATTTATTCACCACGCGACGGCCTCGATTTAAACCAATGAATTGCTCTCCATTAAAATGTACTCGAGATGTCAGCTTTCAATTCTGTTTGCAGTCTTCTTGCATGCACAGTGCACATTTAGAAAAGTGAGGTTGCAGGCGGTTTCAACAGCATTGCAATTTCTATGGGGGCGCTCACCAACCATCCTAACAACAAATGATCTCAATTCCATTCCTTTAGTTAAGACAAAAGAAAAAAAAAAACTGTGTTGCAGAGAACAAAACTCCGATAAGGGATTTGAGAGCCGAACAACCCCAGACAAGCCCAAAGACTAGTACTAGTCTTCCAGGAGGGAGAAATCGGAGGAGAACCTAAAAATTAAATGGTGTGCTTAATTCGTAATCAGGACAGCAGTAGAGACAAAAATTGGGCACATTAGGACATCCAAGGGGAAATGTGCCATTACAAAAAATGGATTCGTCACCCCAAGTGAAGGTACAATATGATTTGGTTCATAGAGTTAAGAAATAGTGTTAGTTCAGTGGAATAACCATCCAAGGTGGTGGCAAGTCCATTTCTCTGTAAAGACTTGAAAAGCATCCGTGAAAAACAAAACTGAATATGAGTTTCGTTTTTCTTTACGGGGTGGAGCAGCTGCACCCTGAATTCTTTACTAGACAGCAATTTAGGTTATGTAAAATCATCCTTTATAGATATTGAGCTTGTATTCTTTCTCTATTCTGTTCCCACCATGACTTCGCGTGCACTTCTCCGAATTGTTCTCGGCTGTAAACATCAAATAGAAAGACAAAATTTCAATGAAATATAATCGTTATGTAAGGTAGAGACATCAAACATGGTTAACAAGTATACCGCCATCCATTGAAAACAAAATCATACCACCAGCTAAAAAGGAAAGGCAGAAGAACAATTTTCATATGAAACTCGTTTCGATTTTACCAAGCAATAAATCCATTTTTAAATCTTATTTTTCATGTTGTATATATGCTTCTGGTGGTGCTCATGTAAGTGAAGTTTTCCTTCAATAGTTTCAGCCACCAAAAAAGATACAGCATGAAATGTGAATAATTAAGGATTTCCATTACCTGAATCTGACACGCCTGAGCTCCCTAGTGCCATCAGCTAATTGTCTGATAGTGATGTAAACCCCTGGTTCATCTTGCTCAACCCATTCCGCCTCCAGGTCGCTGGCATTGCTAACTGAAATAGAAGGCTCATCCCTCGATGAAGTTGTCGTCCGTGATGCATCTATTGAAGATGCCTCACCTTTTGGTCCCATATAGCCACTCGAACCAGGGTGGTAGTGCTGGTTGCCACCTTGATCCATAGAGTCAGGTGGGAAATAGCCTTTACTTCCAGAAGGTTTATAGTAGTTTCTTGGAGTAAACGATGGAACCATAGGGCTTTCCCTTGCAGATTCCATCCTTGAGTAGGAAGAATCTCTTTGCTGATTTGAAAAACAATTATCTTTCAGTAAAATTTTCAAGATGTGGAGTTTTTTTTTAAGATAACGAGGAGTTTCAATAGATAGAAGTAGTGGTGTGAAGAAACAAAAGGATATTTTCTTAGTTGGATAAAAACAAGAGGAAAAGCATGAAACAGGCATTTGTTGCAATAACGTGTCCAAAACTGTCTTTCAATTTAAGTTCTCGAATGGCATTTATTTTCCAACATCGAATCAGCTGTTTCAAGTCGATACCAATGAGGAGGAAAGTCTGATAAAGCTCATTATAGCTTTACAAGGAAAAGGTAAAGGAAATGCCAACCTTCAGTGCTTTGGAATGATTATGTAAAAACATTCCATGATCAAATAAACTGGAATGGAATCGTTTTGACTCAAAACCTTGATATGCTATTTCTAGAGTCTTTTAAGCAGCAAGATAAGATAGAAGAGATTTACCTCATCCTCGCACCTTGGGGGAGTGTGAAGTGCTTGCTGATTAAATCTCTGGACATTATAGAGCTCCATGATTCTATCGTAGTTCTCACCCCACCATCGCTGAGCTTGCCATTTATTAAACATCTCCCGGCTTCAAAACCCAAATGCCTGAGTAATGTCAGTTTGCGCTTACACAAGCCAGCTTAAGCTATTGTAATTTCTTTTCTGTTCACTTGCAAAACCCTATTACAAGGATTCTGTAATTTTTTTTAGTTCATTTTTTTCTGTTTGGAGCTAAAAGACAGATTGTTAAAGATAACTGAAACACACCTGAAGCGAATACGCTTTAGATCATTTCCTCCATTAGGGAGAGACACGAAAGTAATGTGAACGCCTGGCTCCACCTGTGCCATCCATTCCTTGGGCTCATCATCATTATCCAGCACCACATCACATGACTGTGCTGAGATAGACTCTGCTCGTCCAGGGGTCCGGTCACCACCATACACTGAAGTAAATCTAGAGTCAGCTCTGGCGCCTCGATGGTGACTGGGAGTGGTAAAATCCCATGCAGGGGTTGAGCTTGAGCTTCCACCTCCAAAATAGGGGTATGGAAGCCCTTCTGAAGCTGCATCGAAGTCAGGGTAAGGTCGCTGTCCTTTCTTGTAGCTGCTGGGAGTTGTGCAGGGCTTGCATTGCTTATAAGCACCAGACATTTTTAGTGCCATATCCTTGATCTGAACATTATTGAAATGCGTGGTTGATTATAATTGCAAAAGAGCTATATCATTCTATAAAAGAAATTGAAATATTTGGAAGTTGCGCAATTAAGTTGTCAATAGACATAAAGATTTTGAACAAAACTTAAGGGAGGTAACGGAAAGGATGGGCAATTTAAAATCATTTTATATTTTAAAATGTTTGTTGCACATAGATAAATCCTGAATATGACTGCCTAAAGAAAGCACCAGATTGCTTTGTATGGACAGTCATAAAATGCTAAGATAATGATGCATCTGCATAGAGACTTCTAATACATTTGGCAAAAGATCAGAATAAAAACAGACTCATCATAGGGGTTGTTTACAGAAGTATTAGCTGGTGCCTGTTTTCTGTTGTGAACATTGAGTCTCAGGAAAGACACAGCAGAATGTCCCTTGACCATGCCAGCAATTAATCGGCAATTTCATCAGAGAAGAAATGAAATCCCAAGGTACAGCTACTCCTTACAGTAAAAAGTCTAATGCCTCAATATAAATGGTAGCAAAAGAACTAAGCACAATTAAGGACTCTAATATATATGTGTGTGTGTGTGTGTGTGTGTTCCTGTTCGTTGAAATAGATATTATATTTGGCGGTGCAACATTTGATGATGCAACTTATGGTGGCCAGAGCAAGCATGAAGGAGCAATTTGCAAGCGAGTCAACAGCAATTATTTCTAATTTGAATAAGGTGCCTACGTTGCAAAATGAAGCATATTGCCCATCACAGAAGATGCCAGCAAAGGGGACGCTGAACCATCTCATTGGATGAATAAACGTTAACTGGCCTGTACTTGTGGATAGGAGACAGACACGAGCAGAATGCGGAAATCGGAGTTTTTACACACAAAAAAATCTGCAGTGGTGAATACTGCAAGGTGAGAACAGGAGCCAACTCTAATGGTCTTGCACAATCTGAAATGATTATGTACTTTTATGCTGCACAGTAATGGACGCTGGCCTCATTTCACTGCCCATCAACAGAGCAGGCAGATTCTTCCTTTATCCATACTATTATATGGTATATATCGAACTTTTGAGTTACAGTGGAACGACAAGAATTCAATGGTGGGTCCGATCAAAGACATCGAAGTGTCTTTTCGTAAATATCATCAATCTTCTCCTAAAGATCCCCACTGCTGCTCAATGTGGGATAATATGTTGGTTATTATGCTGTCTTTCATTTTCGTATTCCATGGCAAACATGACCAGTACAATGTCTAGGGTATTTTTAAAAAAAATTAACTTCATTGTTCAGAGAGCATTTCAGAGTTTTTTTCAAAAAAAAAAAAAAGAACTCGAAAGGGTGTTAGCAGCGGGTCCAACCCAAAATTCCTAGAATCATCTGACTTCTAAACGAGAACTAGAATATCATCTGCTAGTACAAAAGGTCTCAACAAGAACCCGGTGGTATGAGCTAGCCTCTTGTTATACTGGATGGATTTGTGGTGAAAGTGATGTCACCGCTACCAAGCTATAAAACGTGGTCCGATGGGGTAGCTACCACTCTAAACAAAGCTTTACATTACAGTCCTGTGAGATTCTCTATAAGAGTCGTGGCGATGCTGTCATTTTACTGAAACACTGCTTTTGAGTTTTCAGTTCTGACAGCTGCCGTGGAGGAGGTACAAGGCATGCAGAGGCTCCACCAGCCCATAGCTCCAAAAGTGGAATAGGGTTTTACAGTTATGAAAATCTGTTTCAATAATAATAATAATAATGGCAGTCTTATTGGAAATAATTTGCCAAATTCAAATTTAAAAAAAAAAAAAGCGAGAAAGAGAGGAACCGGAAGGGTTGTGTCCCCACGTCAGCAAGCAATATTTATATTTTACCATACCTAAAATACTAAATTTTGATAGTATGAGGAGACCGTAGACAGCCATGTGTAAACGTGAAAGATGCCAAAAAAAAAAAAAAAGAGGAAAAGATGGTCCCTTCCCCTTCTCACACTTGGACCCCACTATATCAATCACAACTTATATTATTGTTTCTTTACGTAAATAAGGAAGAGAGAGAAAATAAAAGCAAGCACATAAGACACCATGTACGGAGTGCTTCTGTTTCTTTCCCCTTGTGAGAGTCTATAATTATTATAATTATAAACTACGTTTTTGCCTTCCAGAATTTGTATCTTATGGTTTAAGATTTTTCAACATCAATTCTGTAGTTAATGAAAAGTTTCAAGTTTAAATCTTTATCTTTAAAAGAAAATTTGATTTTTTAAAATTAATATTTTTTTAATATTTTTGTATTGTTTTGATGTATTAATATTAAAAATAATTTTTCAAAAATAAAAAAATATTATTTTAATATATTTTTAAATAACTTTAAAAAACAAATACAACTATACTCATCACTGTTCACTCAAACACAGTATAATTATAAATAGCTAAGTCATTTAATAAAAAACTCTATTTTGTTTTTTAGTTCTCAATGTATGTGAGTGGAAGTTGATTTCAAAAAACTGAAACTTTCCTAGCTAATTAAGGAATGTTTTGGGAATGTTGTAAAAGTTATTTAAAGTATTGAAATAATATATTTTTTTAAATTTATTTTTACTATTAAATAATTAAAAATCATTAAAAAATTAAAGAAAAACTAGAAAATTCTTAAATTCATTGTTAGATTACAATGTCTAAACCGACCTTAAACTACGGAAGACAACATAGAAACTTTTAAAAACCAGAGAAAGAACATTGGAAAATCTTAAATTGTAGGAACATAGGCGGGAAATCGGTGAATTTATAGAGATAAAAATGACATTTAGCCTTTAAAATAATAATGTAGAGGAGGTAAGGGATAAGAGTAATTCGAACCTGTGAAGTGAGGCTTTTGACGGCTTCTTTTGTACTTGGGGTGCCACTTCCACGCGCTCCTCCTTCTTCTCCTCGTCCATCCTCCGCCGCTGGCTTGGTGCACGCTATGCACGTAAACATCTTCTCTCCTCTTTAGCTTTTATTTTTAGTTCTTAACCCTGCAAATGATATAATATTCACTTGTTATTATGCTGACAATGATTTCTAAACGTATCGCCTTTGTTTTTTGCTTTATTACTGTTTGCAGAAACAAAGTGAAAATGATGTTGGCAATGCGTTTGACCAGAATCTTTAATAAAAATCACATATTTACAGCATGTGATCATCAAATCAACATCAACTGTAGCTTCATTTTTTTAATATCAGTAGTCCTTAATATTTTACATGGCAGCTTCCTTCCCCCTTCAATAGCAAAAATCTACAGATTTCGTTCATGGCAACTGGCAAGACTCCAAGTGGGTAAGACAGTGGTATTTGATTGGATAGAGCAACAGTCAAATTACCATTACAGCCATGAAGGGGGGGTTGTGTGAAGGGTGTATGAGATCAAATTGATCAGATATTAGAACATTCTTATATCCATATTTGATGAAGCACACTGCCTTCTATGGGCCCTAACTTCAGTATATATTGCTGCATATGTTACTATTTATTTACGGAGAGGCAGATAGGGAAAAAATAAAAAGAAAAGGACCGCCAGGTTTAAGCCCAAAAAAGAAAAAACAAAGAGAAACACACACAATCCATTGCAATCCAAATGAATTAGATACCCAGAAACCAAAGGGAAAAAAGAAAACTAATCATGGAGACTTGCAAATCAAACGAAGTGGAGAAAGAATTTAAAGATTAGATTTTTGTTTTCAAGTTTTAAGGAAAACGATGCGTTTATTGGGGGAAGGACAAAAGGCCAAAAAGATAAAGGGAGGCTCGGGATCGGAGAAGCTAAATCAAAATAGAAAGAAAGAAAATGTTGGGATAAAACAGTGAGTCAAGAATGGAAAAGGAAAACAAAATGGGGACATAGCCCCATTTGAAAGTGGTCTAATCTAATAAAGAATCAAGTTCGTGTATGACGAATTTCTGACATGCCCTTTAAAAAAAAAAAAACCAGAGAGCAGTGAATCATATGAACTAGACAGCAACGCCCATCGATAATATATATATAATCTCTGAGAGATCAAAAGAAAAACTCAAAAAGCAATATGAAGGGTCAATCAACTCGTGCAGAAGAGATTGATAAAAAGAAAAAGAAAACCAAAAAGAAATGTAGTGTGTAGGAATGATGAAAGCGGTAGTTGAATAGACAGGGAGACAAGGAATATTTAAGAAGGGAAGAGTGAGCAACGTTGATATTTGTTTCATGCTCTCATAAAACACGAGAAAGAAAAAAAAATAGAAATGAAGAACTGCATCGTTATTATTCTGAAAACGACTTACCCAAAGCAAGATGACCCTCCCCCCGAAAAATAAAACACTCAACTGCTGCTGCTGTTGTTCTTAGCTGTCTACTTTATACAAGTACTGGTCTTCATAAATCTTGATCAGTGCTTTTGTTCCCGGATAGATATAATACTCTTGCTTTCTTTCAAATCTACCTCTCTTACTCTCAGCTCCTTTCAGATTTCACCATATAAACTGCAACAAAACAACATTAAATAGTCAAATTCTATACTACCTAAAGAAAAACAAATAGCACAGAAAGAGAAAAAAGCATATAAGACAAGCAAAGCCACATGGAAATGGTTCTTGAACAATAATAGCAGCACGATTGGAGATTTCTTCTAGGACTAAAATGGATGGGTTTGAGTCTAAATCACCAAAAAAAACAAGCAACTTACAGAGAGAGAGACAAGAAATACAAATAGTAAAGTCGTGCTCCGTTTGGTTGCTAAGAAAGTTCAAAAAGAAAAACCAAAAAAAGGAAAATATGAGGAATTAAAAGACATCCAACTACTCGATGATGAAACTACTTGCTCAGAATATACGAATCAAAAATCTTTAAAACGAGGTAAGAAAATAAAAAATAAAAAATAAAAATGCTATGCTTTTGGTAGCGGGCCAGTGAAGAAAAAAAACCCAGATAAAAACGAAATAAAAATTCTTACCTTCATCAACCTCTTAATCTCATAAGAACCGATTTTCTGTGTTTGTGATGGTTAGCAGCTGCTCCTCCAAGTTCTTGCAAACGAGATAGACAAAACCAATATAGAAAACAGCAATCTTTTTGGCTCACCTTGAATCTCTTCCCTTTTTAACAGATTACAAAGAGATAGCATAAAATCCTTGTAATCAATTTTCTATTCACTGCCACCACCCGTAATCCCTCTAATTTCGCAGATGATTTAGTGTTAACTCAAAAAAAATAAACTCTCTTTCTTGCTATAAAATAATAGCTGGGTTGCTTGCTAGAAGAGTGAAATGATATATCGGCGAAATGTATCGGATTTCGAGCTTCCCTCCCGGATTTAGTACGTTTCAACTAATCTTTCGTGAGCATTCAAAATGAGAAACTTACAGACAAGGGAAAGGATCAACTGGGAATCCTCGTATTTATATAAGAGAGACGCGACTTGACGCCGTCAATTTCCGACGTTACCCAACGGTTAAGGTGTCTCCACTGAGGATAATGAGGTACTTTTGTGTCGTTGAATAAAAAAAAAACAGATTAAACTTGTTGACCATCACGTTAAAATTCCTTTTTTCTTTTCTAGTTTTTTTTTTTTTCATGAAGGATCAAATTCTTTTAGCAGCTGTAGACTACAAAAATTTACGCACTTCATGATTACAAAAGCTTTGTCGTCGTATCTTAATAAATATAAAAAATAAAAATATGTTTAACTAAAAAATAATAATTTTAAAATGAATTTTTATATTTTCAAACACAAAAAATAATTTTACTCTTTTTTATTATTTATGAGATAATAATGAAACACTAACATAAATATAGACCCAAGAATATCATTTTATTATATTAAAAAAGAGATAATTAATTGGTTAAATTTTTTATTTGATAATAATAGATATATTTAAATTAATTTATATTCCAATCCAAACTAAATTTTGTTTTTAAATGAAAACATTATATAATTACTATGACTTGAAAATTTTTAAAATGTTATCATCAATATCTTACTTATAAACATGAATGAATATACAATTTCAATAATTTTATTTGTCTTATAAAGCACTATTTGAAATAGTTTGGTCTATTTCTATTTAGATCATATGATAAATATAATTCTAATCGGTAAATAAAATAGTTAAGTAGCTGTTTAGAAACAAAATAATACTCCAATTCATAAAAAATTAAAATTAAAAAAGGGAAATTGGAACTTACTTTTTAGATAAAATATTTTTTCATCTTGAAAATTAAAAAAAAATCTAGTTTTTAAAAATTATATTGAATTTGAAAAACGCATTTTAAAGATTCTTTGTAGTTTTCCAATATAAATTTTTCACATTATTTTCAAATTAAAAAAAATGATCAATACACTTTCTTTCTTTATATACAAGCACTTTTATCAATATAAAATATTTAAAATATTTTTTTATATTTAGTTGGTTTCATAAATTTAATAGAAAAAATATATATTTTCTCATAGTTAGTTAAATTTACTTTTTTATTATAAATCCAACATAAAAATTAGTTAACAATTTAAAATTTTCATTATAATTTATAATTTAAATAAAATAGAATTAATATTATATAATTAGATTTTCACAAATATAAAATATTCAGAAATTATGCTTTTGATTTTTATATCAAAAAAATAGTTGTTGTTCTATTGCATTTCTTATTATAAAATTCATTTTTATTTTTTAGAAAATGAATATATTTTTCAATTTTTTAACAAAAAAATTGAAAATGAAAAAAAAACTAAAAAAACAGTTTAAGCACACAATAAGTTTCTTCTAAGAAAATATTTTAAGAGAGAGAAATTATGATTAAGGAAATTGTTTTTAGTAAATGAGGACATGCGAGGCCCGCATGTCTAGCTGATGTAAGGAGAGGGGATCTCTTACGTATGGTATCTAGCTTAGGTGGCATGGTGCGATTACTTGGAAACCATGAAATGCTCGGACGGAGAGATTGTAATTACGGCTACGATTTGATCGTGAGATATTTGCAGGATGAGGAAGCATGGCTCTTTCGGTAACTTACCGCATTTAAAAAACTGTTTTAGTAAAATAACATAGTTAAAAAAAGTATTTAAGAATCTAATATATTTTATCAAATAACAGTTAATATTTGTAATTTTTTTAATAGCATCATTCTAGGATAATCTTTTCTTCCATTAACTCCTTATCCAAAAATATAACAATTTGTATAATTTGAATAACCAGTTTTTCAATATTAAAATATAATTCACATAATTTCACATAACATCTTTAATCACAAATAACAATATTATATTGATAATTAATATAATATAATATTTTATTAAAATTAAATAATATATTTATTTATAATACTCAAAATATATATTTTAATATAGGTTGCAGATAGTCCAACTAGTTAAACATAAGATAGGTGCAACAAACTATGGAATGGAGGAAAGAGCGAAGGATTATTTCAAAGCTAATTTATATATAATTATGTGATAACAAAAATAAATATTTAAAAGAGTTTGAAAGATTTAAATTATGAAGAAAAAATGTATTAACGTGAGCCAAAACCCCTATTTTCTTACACACACACACATTTTTTATGAAATATTTCTTTCTTTATTAGTAATGTGGTTTTTTTAACAAAACTTTAAGTAATTAAAATAAAAATTTGTAAGAGTTCTAATCATTTAAATGCAGGAGGAAAAATGCATTTATTAAGGAAAAACTATTCTTTCTCTATTCATTTAGTTTTTATTTTTATTTTAATGAAAACATATTTTTTTAAATAGAAGCATATATTTTATAATAAAATTTATCATAATGTAAAAGGCAAGTCTCAATGAAAGAAAATAAAAACATCATGTCTTGATAATTTTTATGCACCTATATGAAAGAATAAAAAACAATTAATTTGTGAAAAAATATAAAAATAATTCACAATTACAAATAAAAAAGTATAATTTATTATTATTTAATATTCACATCCAATTTTTTAAAAAAATTCAAATAATAATTAGCCTGAGAAAATTATATAAGAATATATAATAAGAAAAATAATTTTTTTCTCAATGAATATTTTAGATAAAATGTTTTAAGAAAAATTTGAATATTAAATTCATATATAATCAATTCATAAAAAACAATAAATATTGACATAAAAACCTCCAACCTTATATGGAGAACTTAGCACAATAGGACGATTTTTCATATCTCATTTTGATAATTTTACTTAAAGCTTTTATTATAAAATAAAATAAAAACTAAATAAATAAAAATATACAAGGCCTAAAACATTCGTCAACTGCTACCTAGCCAGTAAAGTCAAGCCACGCACCACGGGTTTTTTATAACTTGGGTGAAAGATACTGGGCTTGTCAAAATAACTATACAACTCGTATATAAACTATAATATTTTATTTACAGAAAAAATCTAATAATATATAAATAGTAAAATATCAATTTTATCTTGATTAATATTATGTATATTATTTTAAGATAATTTTATAAATTTATGGAATCAAGTTTTTACCTTATTTTTCTAGGTTTGGAATTATAATTTTATAGATAAATTACATTATTGTTCATAATTTTTTAAATCTATTTACAATCAAGATACATTTTATTAATTATCATAACTTAATTTATGATCAATAGTTTTTTTTTTTATGTATGTAACTCATTAGGTTTTTTAATATATTGATTCAAATATAAATCATGATCCTAAATAAAATAAATTAAACCATTTAATCTATTATCAACTAAATAAATTGATTGATTTATATTTAAAGATCAAATACAATATCTAACAATATGTAATGATCTCTTAAATATTTTTTTTAAATCATTAGTTGTTTGACTTATGTTTTTAGTGATCAATTTTTTAATGTAATTATTATAATTTCATCAAAAATTTATAATTTAAACATTAAAACATGAAGAATCTCTATTATGTTAAATCATGTTTGTTCTTAATATCATAGTTGTTAGTTTTTTGAATAATACTTGAAATTTTTTTTAAATCTCGTTACACCTTGCGCAAAAATTTTACAATTAATATTATTTAAGAACATGTAGAATTTTTTTTTTCTAATTCATATAAGATAATCAAGTTGTTAGTTTTTTGAATAATACTTGAATTTTTTTTTAAATCTTGTTACACCTTACGCAAAAATTGTACAATTAACATTATTTAAGAACATGTAGAATTTTTTTCTTTCTAATTCATATAAGATAATGAATCTTCGCTTAATCACTTAAATACCTTTATATATTCTATATTGTACCCAATATCTTATAGTTTGTTATCCTTGACCAGGACAACATGTAGTTAAGATCAAAGTATAATATTTTTTATATAATATAACTTAGTGATCTTGAAGTGAACACCTCTTAATACATGTTAAAATCATATTTGAATGGTTTACACTTTTACCCAACAAAAACCTGCTTTAGATAACTGAAGTTATATGCAATGATTACTTCTACCCTGCGCCTATAAAAGACAAACAAATAGCATAAAATTACAACAAAGTTGATAAATCATTCAAAGAATTTGTAAGTTCAATAAAAAACTTAATATGAGAATCACTCAATCACATAAAAGATAGCAAAAATGCTAATTTTTTTATTAAAAATATTCTCTTTTTTTACCAAACAGTCTCTATAAAAGAGTATTTATTCCGAAAAAGATTCCTAAGTGTAATAAGATATCGCTAATGAAAATGGATAAATCTAAGAAATAATAATAATAATAATCCAATGAACATAAATTTAAATAAAGTCCCTAATATATATAAAAGGCCTAATAATAATTAAAAAATAAATAAAATAATAGTCTAACTAATTTAAATAAAAATAAAGTCATTTTCGTAATCTGCTACTAGCAGAAACAAAGCCTAATTTCAAATGCATAGTTTTCTCTCGTCTTAATGAAGTATGCCATAAATCATTGGAAATATATGAATATCTACTTTTTAATTAAACTAGAATTTTATTAAAATTAATTACATCACTTCAATTATAACCAAAATAATAATGAAAGGTCGAAACTGACATATTTGAATCTTCTTAATTCAATCTTTTTTTTAATGTATGAATGTCTATCTATAAGCCCTTCTTAAATATAAATTAGATTAATAAAGGCTTGTACTTTATTATTTAATATATTCTTGAAGTTTACCTTAGCTTAGGTGTCTTGAAGAAGTCAATTGAAAATCTCTTTAAACCTCTTAACTCTAAATCTTGTCACAGGACCAACTGGAACCTCTGATGTATATTTTAGTGTTGCTTAAATCTCATCAAATTTGAAGTCTAAGGATCACTTACACAACTATTATATAACCATTTTTATAGACAAATGTGATCTTTTCACATGAAATCTTCATGTGAGTTAATTTAG